AAGTTTCCGACGCGGCCTGAAACAACCAAAAACAATGTAAGTCCACTTTTCAACCAATACCTACTAAGGGCAACTTGACCAGAATGTTGTGTTTTAATTTAATTAATTTTTTTATTATTATCATTATTTTTTGGGCAATCCCATTAGGTCGTAGCGCTTGGTACGAGTTAAATTTTTGCACCTGCTTGGCTGGGGTTCCAAGAAAGCTTAACCCTGTTATGCCAAACGTATCATATTTGATACATACACATTGTTTCTGAAATGTTTTGCGTCTGACACTTTTTGCATTTTAATGGTAAAAACTTTGCTCAAAATCCTATTGTACACAATCAGATACACCTGATAACAGGGGGCAGAAGATTACACAAAAAATAATTTTGACCTATCGCAAAAGGCCAAATATAGACTTAAAACAAAAAAAAAAGTAAGTTTCTGTTTTGTTTTATTCTTGGATCGGGCTTTAAAAGGTTAACTAAGCCAAAACTCACTGATTGGCCAGGGAGTCGCCTCACTGGATGACAAGAACCCCACTCACTTAAAAACCCGGCATCTGCAACCTTACAATTTTGTTATTACTGTGACCATTTGCAATAGACAACGGCTAAACTCGAACCACCATCATGGTCCAATAACAAGGCCCGGCCATATTACTGGCCCGTTGTCCTCTCTGGTTTGTTTCCCATACAAATTACGTCTCAAATTGAGTCGTGGCACTCACTTGCAGTGTGAAACGATCTAGACCAACTCGAGTAAAGTCAATTAGAGCGAAGTAGGTACTAGAGAAAAGAGGTATGAATGTTAAACAGTCTTCAGGATCCCACTCATACGAGATCTGACCTGACTGTGTGCACAGATTGAGAGCTCTTTAGGATAAAACGGGGGAAAAAGAAGAAGCTGTAAGCACAATACTGGCTTTAGTTTCAGCTTTATGAGCAAACCAGATAATTGGAGCTCCTGACTATTTATGGCTGGTACCTTCTTTGTTTGGTCAGGTGTTTCACCTGGAAGGGTTTAGTTACTGGTTTGGTTGTTTTAAGTGTTTGGAAACATGCTCAAGTTTGATGGACACTGATGAGTAAAGGCAATAAATGGACAAAGTGCTCAACGGGTAAGTTCAGTAATTCATCTGTGACAGTAACAATCAGCTTGCCAGTTATAGTAATATCAACTCCGTAACTTATATCTTTAGTATGCCATAAAAAGTATAGTTAACGAGTCTAACTGTTGTCCTATGTGTCCTATATGTAATAGAGGGGCCACTTAGCATAATCAGAAGATCATATAAAAGGTGTGTTTTTTTGTTGGTATTTTGGGTTCGGCCAGAAATACAAACAGCTGAGTTCATTAGCTGCCAGCTGTTTGATTTAGTTGAGATTTTTAGCACATTGAGGGTGAGATATTTTCCCTGGGAACTGTTAGATCAGAGTTGATGCTGGACTTGCCTCTGTAAGGTGGCTCATAATCGGTGGTCCGATTTTTATTCTTTTTTTTGTCGTGTGTAACAACCGGGGCAAGATGGGCAGGAAAACAAACAAATGAGCAAACAAAACTGAACAAACAAACAAACAAACAAAACTGTTGACTGTTTATTGTGAGCCCTCAGTTTTTTTTTTAGCTGTTTTGCTGTTTGCTGTGAAACATTTCCTCACCAGTTGTAAATTCTTGTTATGCAAGATGAACCTCAGTGGTACAATAGTCTTTCATATAAAAAAAAAAAAAAGGTTTGGCTTTCAGTTTTATCACTGACGCATTTTCCTCTGACCTATCTTCTTTTTTCTTGGTTGTTTTGCTATGTTTTATTCGGATCCTCTCTAAATTCGTCCCACTTCCAGGCACACAGCCTGCTAGCATCCCCTCTCTGGAGGGAAGTTACACTGACGTCAGAGACTGATATGATTCGTTTGACGTAAGAGCCTAAGCTGCGGGTGTCATTTTACATTTTTCTGGATGTTTCTATTGGTTGAGCGGGTTGAGAGCAGCACGCCTGCAGCGGTGCCCAACAAACCCACTGAATCTGCAGCTGCTCCTGAGTCCACGCTGCTACTCCCAAGGTTAGGAATCTACTCAGCACAAACCCCGCCCTCCAGGAGATCCTCTCATTTATAGCTCCTCATTCTGGATATTTTATTTTATAGTTAATATAGTTTTATAGTTAATGTAACCTGTTTTTTTATATGAAATTGATTGGAATGGGAAAATATAGCAAAATAACAGCAACTGTTATTACAGTTAAACAGTTAACTGTAACCATTTATGAACAGATAAATAAAGAAATTGAATATGTGATATTTTTGTTTTAGTTCATAGTACATATTTGCAGAAAATATTGGGTCAATTTTATTTTAAAAATGTGTCAATTATTTGACATTTTTTTCAAAAGAATAAAACTAATCCGAGCTAAACTTAATATAAAAAAGTTTTTCTTGGGTCAGGCTTTTTAAGTTTAACCTGCTGTTCATGTAAATCCAACCTGTTTTCCTTGTTTTGACACATATGCCATCTTATTGTGTTGGAAGTTTTAAAGTAAAACATAAAAAAACAGTCTTTTGAATTTGGATCTTATAGCCTTTTATCTGAGCACCTGTAACTGCAAAATGAAAATCTGGACTGGAGTTATTTCATAATACTAAATTAAAATAATAGCACAAAATTCTCCCATGACTAACAAATCCTTCTTTGCTTTTCCAAAGTTTTATCAATTTAGGTCCAGCAATGTCATGTTTCGGCTAATGAACCCAAACCTCATTTCATTAGATGTGGCCCTTGTGAACACACAGGTTATTTAGGAAAGAGCACAACATCTGTGCTGTTGAAACCGAGAAGCCTTAACCAGTAGTTTATCTGTAGAATAATTTGTTTGATTGTTTAAATTGGCAGATTTCCATAACAGGCAAAATAAGGACCACCATGACTTGTCGGATCACAGACTTAATCAAGAAGTGATTGAAGAGCATTAATGAAAACAGTGAAGTCATGGTTATCAAGCCAATTAATTACACAAAGTCATTTTCTGCTCTGTAATTACCTCAGAGGAGCAGTTACTTCATTCATTCACCTTCTACTTTTGTGTTTGGTGCCGTGATAGCTGAAGCAGAGAGGTTTGCACCAGAGCACATTCGAACAATAGACGCCTTTCGAAAAGATAAGCCATCTTTTTTAATCCCCAGGGGGAACACGTGCCACCATTTTGAAGTGAAAGGGCACATCCCATACCATCATATACATCTACCCAATAAAAGGCAAAGATTACATCCCCAAAATCAGTTTTTTTAGTAAGAATCGGACATGATCTTGAACAAATGGCCTCTTCAGTCACTCCATGGGTCCCTTCCTTAAAGTGGTGAAGTCATTTTCAATCATCACAAACAAAGGTGGCTTAAAGATGCAGAATAGTTATCAGTCACCCCCTTTTCACTAATTTTTCCTCCTTTTAAGACCTTGAAAAAAATCAAGATTAAGAACAAACATAGAGCCAAGTGTAATATACGGATCCTGAAGAGAATACCCAGAATATATGGATACAAAACATGAAGAGTTTTCTGACTAATGTAAAAAAAAAGCCAAGCTTGCTCAAGAAATTTGAAATGAGATAAGCTGCTTTTTTCTTTAATTCAGCTTCCAAAATGGACACCAAATTTTAAGAATTTCTAGATGCTTTAGAAACACAGAGAGATCTACTCCTTTAGATTCAGTTTAGATGCACGTTTCTCAGACATTACACGTAAGAGATGTGATTCTTCTGAAATTGGTCTTTAGAAGTAATTACTGCTTTTTTTTTTTAAAGAAATGTGTCACTTTAAAAAAAGATAAATACAAGATTGGATCAGATTTCTTTCTCAAATGAGTTGCATAAAAGTATAAATCTGTATTGAATTGCCATTTATATAGTTTTTTTCTATATTTGTGTATATATAAAGTGATATGAAAAGTATTTCTGTTAAAACATGAGTAATAGATTAATCAGTCGACTCATGCTAACAATGAGACAACTAAAGTTGAAAAATGATAGGTTAAGACAAAAACCTTAAAAAAAACTAACTTAGACAAAGTTAATGAAAATGAATGAAAAAGTATAACAGTGAAATGGAAATAAAAAGAAACTGAATTTAATCTTAAAATTGAGAGAAAACATGATTATATATATACATATATAAATATATATACAGTAGATAGAGGTAAAATAAACATACTGTTCCCGTCTTTTGTCATTTATCTTTACATGTTTATAATTGTTCATATTTATTAATTTATTGATCCTGATAGTTCCTGTCCATTCATGTATTCAGTTACCTTTATTTTCTTATTACTTTAGAGATACTTGTATTTTTTTCTCATGCCGTATATTACATTAATCGTACATCCCTGTCATGGACACTATTCCAAGAGGTTTTGCAGGGCACCTGAATATTTGTTTCAACTGTCAGCGCAATGACCAGAAAACAGAAAAACAAAAACCATACCTGTACTGTGTCTAAGTATTGAGATTGAGAGTATGTTTCCTTATACTGAAAAGGCCTGAGTTGGATAACCTTTTGTAAGTCTAACGGTGATCAGTTGATGTGCTATGGCTGTTTTACTGCTACAAAACACACACTTAAGAATTAGAACCTGTATAAACCTGGTGAGGTTTTTAAGCTGAGCAGTGTTCACACTTTAACCAACTGATGCACATTTACTCTTTTCTTTTCCAAAGCGAAAACCAGGATGGTTTCCAAGGCACTGTACCATCAAGTAATTGTAGGGAACATAGTTCTTATGAGAAATCACTATCTAAACAAAAGATGGATGAGAGAGAATGACTACATTACAGAAATAATTAAAACAATTTATCACAAAATAGCTCCTGTGAAGCTTTGGAATGCATCGCAGGCAGCTGACAGAAGTGAGTGGTGGAGCTCTGCCAGCTGCTGTGAAATGATCGCCTCATCTCATCTCTACTCTTCTTCTTCTTTTTTTTTCTTCTTCTCATTCTGACTCTCTGGTGCATGATGTCTTTTCAGATGGGATCAGCGTGACAGGTTTGCCAATCTCCAGTCCGCTCCGACAAGTCCTCAAACCCAGGGCTGAGTCCAAGCCCATCAGCACCGAGCCCGGCAAGGCCGACTACAGCCATGTGAAGGTACACCCATTTAAAAAAACAAAAAAAGGAAAAAAAGCCTTATAACGTGAATAAAAACACAAGCACTCGCTGCGGTTTTCTTAGTATCAAATTAAAATGCAAGCGTAGCGTTGCTTGTGTTTTATCGAAAAAGTATTCCATCCTCGTTCCGCCTCACTACACTCACTTTCTTTTTTTTTATGTCCTGAAATACCGAATATCTTCGGTATTTGCCTGCAGATAGGAAACAGAGCTTATGCCGATGGTATCTGACCGCAGCTCTAGAGGCACTCTGCTCTTTGAATCAACACAAGGAGCTCCGACACAGGCACAGAGATGAGAGGAGGGGGGGGCGGGGGGGTGGAGACAGGCGGAATGAGAATGGATGGGGCAGATCATAGGCGGATAAGGTTTTGTCCAGGGCCCGTGGATGTGTGAGGGGTAGAAAGTTGCTGAAGGCAGCAGCCGAACCACCTGCGTATGTGATTGCTGCATTGTGTTACTTCTTAGGGTCTCCTTTTATTTCCCGTGAATCGTCAAGAAAAGGAGAGAAGAAAAAAGCACAGTCAAACGCTCAATTTCTTTCTGATTTTGACGGAGTGATGAATAATACATAAAAAAAAGATTCAGGTAGAATTCATTGAGCTCAGTCAACATTTAACATCCCGAAAAGTTCACATTTCTACTCGTACAGAACTACCTGGCTGTTCATAGTGATCAGGAGCTTTTTGTTTTTCCCGGATACATTTGAGACGATCACATAGACTGTTTATTGAGAACTGTATCAGGGTGGGGGTGGACATTTTAACAGTCCTGCTGAGATCCCTACAAATCCTCTTGCAACACTAGCTGATAAAACTAAATTAATTTTCCCTCCTCAACCCGTTAGATAGCCGCTACCTTTGCTCTGAGGACAAAAATGAAGGGAAGAAGCCTTTGTTAAAGGCTAGCTGGGCATTTTAATCAGTATCTGGGCTTGTTAGAGGGAGAGTTTGACTGACAGCTCGGTGTTGGAACCTTGGTTAAAACTAATCTAATTCCGTCAGGAATCCGAAGGCCTCCTAAAAGCGGGCTGTTGGAACCTGAGCTCTGTCTGCTCTCTTTTTTTTCAAATGTGCTGTGGGGCATGCGGTAGACATCAGTATGACTCATCTCATTGTCTGCCGTACAAAAAGCTTGCACACCATTTTTTGCCTGCATACTGTATTATATACATGCATTCTCTGGGCATGACTCATTATGGCAGTAGGCTGGGTTGTTTTCAGGTAATGAACCCAAAGCCACACTTCTGAGTTTTCCTTTGGATGCTTGTTGACTTTAAAGAGATGGACAGGTGCAGTATGGCTTTAGGTGAGCACGAACAATAAATCGAGCAATAAAAAGAGAGGCATTAGCTTAGAAGCAAACCTCAAGTTTAACTGGGAATGTCGGTTGTCAAAGGTATGACACACTGAACTCTAAGTTCAGTTGGATCTGGGAGGCATTTGCCATTTTAGCATGCATAGTTTTGACTTAGTTTGCTTCCATGGTGCCTCTTTTGACTTGCTTTGAAAGCAAAACTGCACTTGGCAGAAATCAAAACCTAATATTCTTTATCAGTGCATAAACCTAAGAGCTCACATAAGAAAACTAAACAAACCGAGCTCACACTGGCACACTCACCTATCTGGAATGCTCTTATTTTCCTCATCAGCAAATTGGCCGAAGTCAATGGGCCGACTCCTCTCTCAGGCGCGATGTCGCAGGAAATTCTGCTTTTAACTGGCACATAAAAGCTAAACAGTCCAAACAAATCTTGTTAGTGCACATCATTAGTTTTACTGGAGCACAGCCCTACAGAAAGTAACGTCTATCTTGTGGGTTTTGTTACCATGAGAGATGAATCATAAGCCTACCGGACGCTGCTCTGTGTTATTGATAACAGTAGTCAGAGCCATTTCTGTCTGTACGCTGATTATGCTAATTTAAAGGGACCCCACAATTAAAACTGGTCCATCTTTATCCCTTTTAAGTAAAAATAAAAGTACAGGCTAAGAACAAAGATAGCAATGATGAGCTGTGTTGGATGTTTTGAGGCTTAATTAAGTGAAACCTTTTGGGCTCGTGTTCGGGTACGATGGGAGTGACCGACAGCCACCAATAGTGACGGAAAACTGGACAGTGCAGACCTCCAGAGGATAATCAGAGACAAAGTCTTTTAATCCAAACAGACCAAAGGATTGTTGTACCTTAAGAGAGCCGAGGGCAGCAGCAGGCTGCACTGCCTGGGAAAAACCAAAGGGCAAACCCATCCCGATATTAATTACCGTACATGATAAAGCAAGAACCTCAGATAAGGAGAATATAAGAGTTTTATTTTATGAGAAGAAAGTTTCAGCTGTTATAATATTATTTGAATGAATTAAAAGGAAAGGAAATCATTTTTAGGAACAATTTGGCCAAAATCTTTAAAAATTCACTAAAACTTTGTTTCAAATACAATGAAAAATAAAGAAATAAGAAAACTGAAACTGACAAATGTTAATTTTAATGAATTGTTTGTGATGTGGGGTGGATAGAGGGAAGTATAAGAGCTGTTAGGAAGTTTATCCTACCGGCTAGCTCAGTTAGCCTTGGGTAGATTTTAGCTAGTTGGCTAGGCTTTGTTAGCTGCCCTGCTTTAGCGTTTGATTCATGACATTTTAGCTATAATTAAATGAACATGCAAACAGGTTAGAGATGTTGAAGGTGCTAAAATGCCTTACTAACTCCATTATTAGCAAAGTTCTTAAAATGAGTCCAAGTATTACAGACTAACTCTATGTGTAAGTAAAGTAAGGATGCTAATTTAATTTCTGTTGATCCACAGCTTTTTTACTTTACTCATTTTATAAATGTTTTGGGTGGGAGTGGTGTTTTTGCAATTTAAATTCCTTTTCCTTTTTAACTTAATATGTGTTTGATTTAATGAAACATAAAGGCTTCAGGTTAGAATGTTACATTTTTATATTAGACGTTGTTGCCCATCTTATGGATCATAGTCTGGCAAACTAAGGGTCCACAAATGGGATCTTGCATAGGGGTCTCACAAGCTAGAAATGCCCCCGAGAGTATAAGCAATAGATTAAAAGATTTAAGAGGTAGAAGACAAAAAATACATTGATTATTCCCAGTAGGAGACTAAATTCAAAACTTAATAGTAAGACGTGTTCCTTTCCCACTTGATGCAGGCCCATGGAGGTAAAAGACATGGCTACTCTGATCTAAATCCTCTGAATCCACTGCAGCATCACACCAAGCCGTGGGTAGAGAGAAAGACAGCCGGAGAGTCCTAATTTAATCTGCATTTGATTTGAATGATGCATTTGAGGGCCTTTTCCGGCCAAATGACAGGTTTATGTCACTGGTATGGAATATGGTCAATTTGGAATGGAGGTCACTTTAAATACATGAACATGTGCACAAATCATTGAAAAAAAGTTTGTATCAGCCCAAAAAAACAACCTGCCATATGGTGGGATATTTTATTTTCAAAGCAGGTTGGACAAATTGACCTCTGTCATTTGGAATGTGGCATTTGAAAGTTGCAATTCATAGAGCAAGATGTGCAAATACATTACGGTACTTTTATGCATTTTTAAACAGCACATTTTCTACTTTTTTTTCGAGCTTTGCCTCCACATATGTTCATGCCTTTCGAATAAGCATACTGCTAGTGTTTTGGGGATTTGAATGAGTCAGTCTGTGTTTGAGCTTTACGTGGAACAGAGAAAGGGTATTAGCTGCTAATAGCTGCTTTTGGCTGTTCGGGCTGGACGGACAGATGCACAGGAAATTGAGCGCCCTCCAGCCAAGCGGGTTGGCAGCACTATGTTCCCTGCATATCTCAATCTCGGGCTGGGACAATTAAGTTCGAATTTGTTTTTTTTGCCACCTAAACCAAACACGACGGTTATTCCTGCACACTTTTTCATATCTTTACATCTATAAACTCCTCTCCCACCACGGTTAACAAATGTTTAATCCACCAGAGGTCTTTCGTGGCATGTATACTGACGGACTATGAGTATGTACAATCAATCACGGCTGATCTGTAATCAGCACACGAGGAGTCAACATGTTTATCTCAATGACCTTTCATCGCTCAATCTGAGCACCCCCCCCCCCCATCCTCGCACAGACCACGAGTGCCTGCGGGCTGAGAAATGCGGATGCTGTCAGTTTGGAATGGATGCGCCCCAGGTGAAGGATGCCCGGCTGCTGGGAAGTATTGGTTTTTCCAGTTATTTATACGTTCCCGATGCCTCATCTCCTTGGAGACGCGCGGGACTCCAGATACTTTGACACCGTCAGTTACTCCTTTCACCTCATCACCGCGGCTTTATGTCATGTTCGATCCCGCCCGTCCTCAGCCGTAGCGCATCCACTCTGTTTTGATTGTGTCTACAGTACTTTTGTGACACGCAGACTTCTGCTCTGATAGATCTCACTGGGGTGTCTACATACGAGCTCAAAGACACAGGTACTTCACGCTCACATGGGGATTTTGACCCTAGATCCCATCTGCTGTGAACCAAAGAGAAAAGGGGATAGCCTAATCCTACTTTCTGATTGCCTTTGACCCACAGTAAAGCTGAACAGCCCTTACCATTCCTTCAGCCCCCACCGTGCAGCCTGGATCTTCACTGGATGCAGGGTTTCACGGCACATTTCAGGGAAGCTGTGACTCTGACAAAGGGGTCTCTCAGACACATTGGGAAACTATCTTAAAAATATGTGCTGAGTAGCTGCAACCTGTGCATTTTTACTAATCCCACTTTTCTAAAGCCAAATGTAGATCTACTTATTCCTCTGAGGCAAATAGTCTGCACTAGATAAGGCTTCCAGCAACCTCCCTCCTGCTAGAAATGGCAATATGGGAGTGCAGTTTTTTGTATGACTAACAACTCCTAACCCAGTCAAGTATGAAAGGAAAGATTCAGATCTCAGGTAGTCATTTGTGAGATACTATCAAAATTGATTCTGCGGTAATGGCTCTGATGAGCCTTACTAAGTGGCAGTTGACTTTAGTGGCTGTTCTGTAAAATTAATAAAATTGGTTCATCATTGTTGCAAACCCTTCATAGCAGGAAGAAGGAGCCCTCCTTTTTTGCTTTTCCTGACGTTTCTTCCTTTGTCTATGCTGCTGATTACCAATTTTAATAGTACCCAAAAACTGGTATCATTATCCAGACCGCCCCGAGATGTTCCCTATGCAAAGGTTGGCTAAAAAATGACAGACTTAAGGAAGCCCAAAGAGATGGTCAGTGGTGGATATCAAAGGGAAAAAAGGTAATGAACTGTTCTAATTCAATTATGCAATAAAACTCGTATACCAATAATCTCTCTCTGAGAAAGTTCTGTAAACAGCGATGGAAAACGAGTCTGAGGCTGCGTTCACACAGCAGCCTGAAGTGATTAAATTTTTTAAATGTATCTATTATTTATCTTTTTTTTTTGTTGTGAAATCCAAAATTTTTTGCATGGTCGTTCACATTACCAAATGTGTGCAAACGAACCTAAAAGTGTCCCGCATGCGCAGTGGAGGAAGCTCAACAATGTCCATAGAAGATCCAATTTAATCAGAATTAGGTGTGCAGAAGCAGGAAAATGTATAAAACCTGCAGGACAGCGGCCCAAAGAGCACCTGAGTTTGACTCCATTTGCTTTAAACTGTACCTTTGGCATTGGAGCCAGAAAAGCTTTACACCCATTCCTGGAGAAATACTATCAAAAAAGTCGCCTGGTTTCAATAATAACTCAGAAAGCAGGCTTTCTTTCCACTGACTGTTCCCCGCATTGTTGTCCGATATTGTTGTTTGACTTGAGGTGGGATGAACACGACCTAGCTGTACAGACTCAGGTCACATTTGAAAGGATACGTATCGGGTTTTTTAGACCGGGGTCCATTAAAAAAAAATCTGCCACATTGCTATCACGCGAAGTGAATTTTATTTGTTTGCAGAATGTCTGTAAGCAAAAGAGGCTGCCAAGTTATTAATAATAGACACGCTGGCAAGCAGGAAAATTAGATCCCACCTCAGAAAATCCAATGTAAGCATTTTTAAAACAACACTGTCTGCGGGTGTTTGCAGAAAGGCCTCTTGCCTTTAGATGAAAAGCTGCCACACACACACACACACACACACTCACCTCAGAGTAGGGTGAGTGTAGTTGGAGGGGTTGCCGGGGGTGGGTGGGCAGAGCTTCTTCAGGGCTAATCAAATCCAGCGGAGACAGAGGCAGAGTCTATTTTTAGCCGCAGTCCTGCTGATGGCAGCTCAGCTCTTTTCACAGATTCAGAGCCCCGGCTTGTGGAACAGATATTTATAACCGCCACAGCTGTCTGCAGTGTTAAGCTCTAGCAGCCTACCCGTTTCCCTCATCTGTTTTTTTTAAGGATTAGAATCGTTCTCTTGGTGCAGTTTTTCGGTTTGGATCTCAAAAGGATGCTATGAATGATTTAGCTACTGATGCTGTGTCTACAGAGGAAGGGCAGTGTTTGATGTTGGACTACAGGAGGCGTCGCCAACCTGTCTCTATCTGCAACAGACCAGTGATGGCAGTAACCATGTGATGAAGAGAAATCAGTACATCATGTTATCCACCTTCTAAGGGAATAAGTGCAACACTGAACAGTTCGAAACAGGAATTAAAGAATGATTAAATCAATGGGAACGTTTGCATGAAATAAATTGGTAACTTATTTTTCTTCTTAGCAATGAAAGGATAATAAATGAATATTGAATTAAAAATCCTTAAAAAAATATTAATCATTTTTACTGAAGTGATTCTGATAACAGTAACGCAGTTTTGATAGAGTGAAACAATTATGAAACAGAGGATGTTTCCTTTTATGTCTCTCATTGAGTACATTATTGAATTATTTCCGTCCGGGTCGTGGATTTTTTATTTCCATTTTTATATTTGCCAATTACTGCCTCAAATGGAAAAGGGGGTAATATCATTTCCTATACCATTACACTCGTTTTTTTTTTATCCTGCAAAGAGGTAAAAAATGTGAAGCAGTGTGTGCATATAGAAGATCGCCCCATGATTCAGGAGTTTATGGAGCCACTTTAACAGCAATGTCTCGGAGCAGTTATTTTCTGTGTGATGTTATCAGCCTCTCACATCATCGTGGAGGGATTTCAGCCCACCCGCCCTAATGCCACCGCTTCAGTTCCTTTAGGTTTGAAACATTTGCTTCTGTGCAGCTTTTTTTATCCATCGCAGAATTTCAATCATGATGTCTGGACTTTGACTGGACCCTTTTGACAACTTGATTCTTTTCTTTTTCAGACATTCTGTAGATCTGGAACTGTGTCTGGGATAATTGACGGGCTCTGCAAAGCCTTAGCTGTCAAATGGTCTCATAGAATATTCTGGATTTACTTTTGAAAATGGAGACTCAAAGGTAATAAGGTCCGGTGACTGTGAAACAAGCCCAAATTGTCAGCTTTCTACCACGATAGTCTGTGTAATCTGTTTGATGATTTTGCACCGATAAGCTGTGTTTTGTTTCCTGCAGATGCACGGCTCTACATCACTACCCAAACACCCTCACTTTTATTAGTATTTACTAGTATTAGTATTTGGAATACTGTGCTGTGCTTCCATTTTCTTTTAAGACGGAAGAGGCTTTTTTCCAAGCTCATCCAACTCTCATGACCTTTAACCTTTAGCACGCTAACTGAGGCCTACAGAGTCTGAGATGTAGCTCGAATTGGATTTATTTACTCCTTTTTTTTGCACCGTTCCTCTGAGCATCGTCTGACCTTTGGTCAGACCTGGGGGACATCCACTCTCGGGAAGACGGCAGCTGTCCTGAATGTGTTCCACTTGTTGATAATCTCTCCCAGTGTAGGTTGATGGTTTGGAAATGGCCTTCTGACCCTGTTTCAGATTGACAGGCAGCTACAACTTCTCCCCCTAACTCTCATGAGAACAGGCCTTGCTTCTGTTAAATGCAGTGTAAAAAGTCACGTTATTCAGCTCAGGTTGTGTCCATCTGTAGATAGGGGGCACGTATCATTTTACAAATGACTGTTTGTTTTGTAAAACAAGGAATTTCTGTCCATATTAGCATATACATTGCCGCCATTTAGTTTTTGTTTCGCTCATCAGATCATTCATTGGGTGTCTGTTAAGACTTGGCTCTGTTTGTGGGTGTCATTTATAAGGTCTTCTATTGATGTCAAAGCTCTCTTCGGCTGTAAACAAGTCGATGATGTGTTTGCCGGCGTTTTATTCGGCTTTGTCCCCTCGGTGGGAAAACACACAGATAAAAGTGGTGATCCGGTCGACCTGTGACGGAGCCTCCTCTCTCACTCGACTTATTGCTTTCGACTTTTTTTGCTTTTACCCCGATGGATGGCGTCAGGATCAGGCCAGGTTGAGATTTTATTAAGAGCCCGGACATCTGCCCCAAACCTGCCGCCACTCACCCCGGGCGCCGTGCGCTCCCTGTGCTCCGTTAAGCAGACCCTGCTGCGAAAGCCACGGCCATTTTTAACGGAACTGTCCCGGCAGGTGCCACAGGTGAGACGACAAATAGGCCGGGCACCACATCCGTCCACGGAATGGCGTGAGAGTGTGCCTGGAAGGAGGAGGGGGCGTGGGCTACCTCCGACCAATCTAAAAGGGGCCGTCATCATTAACCCTTGTGTGGTGTTCGGGTCTGTGTGACCCGTTTTCATTTTTTACTATAAGAAAAATGATACGATGAATTCATTTTTCAAACTGAGACTCACTGGCTTTGGCTCATTTTCTGTCAAGAACATATATCAGAATTCATATTTAATGCCCACACACCGTACACCCCCCTTACACATTTCTATTACATATAAGATGTTCGGGTCCACTGGACCCGGGGCTAAAAGAAGTTTGGAGATTTATGTTCTGTGAACCACACACAGACACACACACACACTCACAATGTTGCAACCTTGTGTGGGAACCCCAGGTGCACAAACACAAAAGAAACAGTTCCCACACATTGTTTGTCTGCTCTAATTTTATTGCACATTTCACCCTCTGTCTATCTGCTAAAAATTGGGGGCGGGACCACACTGGCACAGCTTTGCCAGAGTGGTTTCTTATAACCGAACAAGAGGGCCAAAAGGTTCTCTGCCCAGAGGGCCCTGGAATTGATTTTGGATGAGAGAGAGAGAAGTTAGGATAAGGCAAACATCTGTTCAGTATTTT